ACACTTAATCTATTCAAACCCTAAAAAATTATTATCACAAAACCTCTTTCTTTTGTGAGAAAGTGGGCTCAAACAAGGGCTAAATGCATGTTTGCAAAGCTTTTTATAAGGGGAAATTACATAGATCGGGTCTTTAAACTTCAAAGTGCAAAAATCAGGTGTAAAAATTTTTTAATCAAAATTCAGGTAATTAAATATTATACCACCAAAACCCTAATTTCATTTCATCCTCTCCTTTTTCCCTCATTCCCCTCTCTCCCTCGTCTCTATCTGCCTGATGTGAACAGCGACGCTGTTGTGAGTTATGGCAGTGTCGCGACTCTACTGCAGTTCACAGCGTCGTGCAGCGGCTCCTCCTCCATTCCCCATCCCTCCCTCGTCTCTCTCTGCCTACTGTAAACGGCGGCAGCGTCGCGCCTTTCACTGTCACTCTCTACCTCCAAACTCCATTCTCTCTAGAATGGAAAAAAATTCCGTCAACTTCCGACCACCAAAACCACCAGATTTGGATACCATTGCAAAGCCCTAAACAACACCTTTAATTTCCACCCAACATGCATCAATTTCATCCAAGTATGAAGGAGAAATCAACAGTCAAAATCAGCTGCCCAAGAATGCTAAAACCGCTGGAATCGCCTTCTCCGATCAACTTCACAGTGGCGGGCCACCACCGACCAACTCCCCAAAGTCAGACGACCCTCCCCATGTCACAATTCATCCCAAAAAGCATCACACAAAACGAAATTAACCACAACAATATTTGCAGTCGCAAACGAGAAACCAGCAGGTCCGAAAAATGTAGTTTCTGGCGCCGTCCGGACGACCCACAGTGGCGGACCAACTGGGTCCTCTTCCCCTTCCCTCCCCAAGACGCACCTTGCCCATGTATGGGTCAACCTCGATTTAACTCCCAACAGCCTGAATTTGACCAAATTTGTGGCTGCAGCGAAGAGCCTGTGCGACAGCTTCGATTTTCACCATTTTGATGCTTCGATTTTCACCAATTATTCAATTCAGCCAACAAGAATTCAATTAGCAATGGTAANAGGAAAACTCAAATTGACAACTCAATTTTGATGCTTCAATCTTGCTCCAATTATTCAATTCAGCCAACTAGAATTCTATTAACAATGGTAAGGCTATGGGTAAGCAACCAATTGCATCAATTAACACCTCAACTTCTGGAATTGAATTTGCCCATCTTCCTCCTCGAGATGCATATGTTCCTACTGAAATTGATGATTCTGCTGGTGTTTTTCTTCAAAACGCAGGAGGTGGTTGTTGGCAGTGATGATGGTGGTGCGGTGGATCTAGGTAGGACGACAGTGGTATTTACTTGATGTGGTGTGTAATGGGTTGACAATTGTGGTGGCAGTCGACGGTGGTGTAGGTGGAAGATATGGTGATTTTGGTTTTCTGTGACTAAAATTATAATTCGTAACCTTAAAATTCTATAATTTGTGACCAATCATTTTGTTATCTGTGACCTAAAAATTATATAATCTGTGACCGTGAAAAAATTTGTGACCAACTGATTTGAAAATCTGTGACTGTGTAAGCTATAAATTTTGATTTGTGACCAACTAATTAATTGTGACTTAGAAATTTTTTATATGTGACTATTAAAAAATCTGTGACCGACTGATTTGGAAATCTATGACATGCAAAAAAACTGAGACCAAAAATTAATTTTTAACTAATTAATATTAATTAATTAATAAATACCTGATTTTTGCAAGTTTGAAACTTAACACCCGATTTTTGCAATTGTCAAAGTTAATACCTGATTTGTGAAATATTCCATTTTTATAATGATGGAATTGCATGTAAGGACAAACATAAACATTTTAAGTTAGGAACACAATCAAATTCCGTACAAATCGAATACTTTGTTCTTAATTTTTTAATGACTCATATTTGACCCTAGAAAATGTAGATTTACATTTAAAAAATATTTCTTCATTAATATTCTGCTCATAATTTTCATCCGTTTGATTTCGAATAATCATTTTATTAATATTTTGTTCATCACAAAAAAATGCATATTTATGTTTAAAAAGTTTATAGTGTATTTAATACAAAAAAATCAATTCAAGTAATGGAAAGGAAAAACATATGACCAATATTTAATACAATCAAATAAACACAAGTAGTTAATATATAAGTCAAATTGGATATAATCAATTGAGATACATCCTATATACACAATTTGATAGGAGAAAATTCAAATTTAGGATCTAATTAGTTGAAAATTTGATCGAAAAGTGAAAATTTGTAGACATTTTTTAAAAAATTAGAAGTGTTAAGGTTCTGGTAAAAAACATGAGAGGGAGAAAGCAAGAGCAAAGAGAAAAAAAATTCAAATTTAATGTGATTTTACCCATGTTTGATGGGGATTAAAATTAGATTTTTAATAAATTTTAATAAAAGTTGAAAAGTTATAGATTCTATGAAATATTTAGTTAAAATTGATTGTTAATTTAGTTTTAAATTAAAATTTAGATTTCAATCGATATCGAACATGACTTTATATTTAAAAAAATCTCAAAAGTTAGGGGATCATCACGTCCTCCTTGGGGTCTGCCATTGATTGCGTGTTTTCCACATGAAGTCAATGTTTGACACACATTCTTTTAAAACGCATTTTTAATCGCACATTTTTCAATAAAATAATATTCTCAATCACATTAATAATTTTTCCTTACTTTTTATCC